CTCTACAATAAATCAAAAATCAACCAGGCGTGGTAGCGCGTGCCTGTAATTCCGGCTACTCGAAAGGCTGAGGTGGAAGGATCGCCGGAGCCCAGAGGTCGAGACTGCAGTGGCCGGGAGCGGCCACTGCACTCCAGTCTGGGCGACAGAGTGAGATTCCAACTCAAAAAAAAAACCCCTAAGAAGTATACAGACACACACACACACACACACACACACACACACACACACACACACACAAAGGATTGGGGGGCCATGTCAAAAGGGCATATAAAAAATCAACCTGAGCCAGGCATGGTGGTACATACCTGTAGTCCCAGCTACTCAGAAGCGTGAGGTGGGAGGATAACTCAAACCTAGGAATTCAAGACCAGCTTGGGCAACATAAGACAACTCAATCTCTTAAAAAAAAAAAAAAAAAAAAAAGCCAACCTGAAAGAACTCCCAGTGAAAGCTAGAAAAATTTGAGCAAAAATAAAAATGACAGAGCCAGGAAAGGTAGCTCACATCTGTAAATTTCTTTTTTTTTTTTTGAGCCAGAGTTTCACTCTGTCACCCAGGCAGGATTGCAGTGGCACACTCATGGTCACCGCAGCCCTGACCTGCTGGGCTCAGGCGGTCCTTCCGCCTCAGCCTTCCAGTAGCTGAAACCACAGGTGGGCACCATTACACCCAGCTAATTTTTTGATGTATTTAGAGACAAGGTCTTGCCATGTTGCCCAGGCTTGTCTCAAACCCCTGGACTCAGGCAATCCTCTCACCTCAGCCTCCCAAAGTGCTGGGATTACAGGCTGAGCCACCACGCCTGGCCTTTTTTTTCTAATACTGTTCCATAAGTAGAGGAATGTAATATCTGCTATGTCTGATTGTCTCCTTTTTTGTGATGTTAGCAAATGTCCTGATGTTTAATACCTAAATCCATTAATTCTTTATGGGTTGCAAAGTAGTGTTATTCTAAATCTCTATTTTTTTTTTTTTTTTGAGTCTGAGTCTGTCACTCAGGCTGGAGTGCAGCAGCACACTCATGGCCACCCCAGCCTTGACCTGCTGGGCTCAGGTGATCCTTCCACCTCAGCCTTCCAACTAACTGGAACTACGGGCGCACACCACCACGCCTGGCTAATCTTTTGGTTTATTGTAGGGACAAGGTCTCTGTCAAGTTGCCCAGGCTGGTCTTGAACTCCTCAGGCAATTCTCTCACCTCAGTCTCCCAAAGTGTTGGAATTACAGGCGTGAGCCACTGCACCTGGCCTAAATCTATCATTTTTTTCTTCATTTGTTAGCCAGAAATTTCGGTAAAGAAAAACTTCCTGTTGTCTATCTACTATTTGGTTACTCAGTGATAAAATACATACAGAAATACTGAAAATTGCAATAAACTTTAAAAAATTAGCTGAGTGTGGAGGCGCATGCCTGTAATTCCAGCTACTTGGAAGGCAGAGGCAGAAGTATCGCCTGAGCCCAGTAGGTCGAGGCTGCAGTGGTCAGGAGCGTGCCACTGCACTCCAGCCTGGGCAAGAGTAAGACTCCAACTCAAAAAAAAAAAAAAATTCATACTGAAATATTTATGGATGAAATGATATAATGTCTGGGATTTGCACCAAAATAATCCAAGAGGGCTGGACACAGTGGCTCATGCCTGTAATCTTTGGAAGTTAAGGCAGGAGAATCACTTAAGGCTAAGAGTTTGAGACAAGCTTGGGCAACATAGCAAGACCCTGTTTCTACCAAAAAAAGTTAAAAAAAATTAGCTGGGCATGGTGGCACACACCTGTAGTCCCAGCTACTTGGGAGGCTGAGGCAAGAGGATCACTTGAGTCCAGGAGTGAGAGGCTGCAGTGAGCTATGATTGCACCACTGCACTTCAACCTGGGTGACAGAGTGAGATACTTTTTCTAAAATAGCAACAATAAAAACAAAATATCCAAAGAGGAGGCAGTGGGATAAGATATACATAAAACAAGATTGGCATGAGTCAAAGTATTGAAGCTGCCTGGTGGACACATGAGGGACACGTAAATATTTTTTACATTTTCTGAATATATAGTTTTTAAAAAGTGGTGAGATAAAGTTAGACAGGGTATCCATAGTACAGAGGATCTGGAACATAGGCTTAGGAGTTTAATCTGGATGTCTGGGATTCAAGAAGGAAGGCCTTACCTTGTAGAGAACCTGCCAGTCGCTGACCTTGGTATGGGACAACTTCATGCGCTTCAGAATCAGCTACAGTCAGACAAAGTGATAGCTACTGTTTTCCCTTCTGCATTCTAATGCCCCTCAAGAAGCCCAACATCCAATATTGGCCTTCAGCCTCCTCCCTAACTCCCTGCACCCAAACCTGGACTCACAGGCACGTTCTTGATGTGACCCAGAAGTCGATGCAGCATCTGAGCCATGTCCAGATTCTGGGGCAGCAGAAAAAACTGAATAACGTCCAGACGGGAATTGAGTTCCCCCAGGTCATGAGTTGGACGTGTGAACCACAGCCTGGAAATGAGGAATAGGATAGAGGGACTAGAAATTACATCTGGCCGGGCTCGGTGGCTCAGCCTGTAATCCCGCGCCTTTGGGAGGCTGAGGTGAGTGGAATGCCTGAGCCCGCGGGTTCGAGACCCGCCTGGGCAACTTGGCGAGACCTCATCTCCACAATAAATCAAAATGAGCCAGGCGTGGTAGCGTGCGCCTGTATTTCCAGCTACTTGGAAGGCTGAGGCGGAAGGATCGCTGGAGCCCAGCAGGTCGAGGCTGCGGTGGCCAGGAGAGGCCACTGCACTCCAGTCTGGGCGACAAAATGAGACTCTAACTCAAAAAAAAAAAAAAAAGAAATTACATCTGTTCTCATCATTGTCTTGATCTCAATTTGCCAAAATGTGTGTTTTTGCAGTCCCTGGGGATTGTGGCAATATGTATCTGTGACTTGCTCTAGAAATGCAGTGGCAACTGCAGTGTCCTATACATGTGGGCGTGTATACCTGTATCTACTGAAAATCACTGGATGTGCGTATCTGTATATCATGGTTTTGATGGATAAGACCATGTGTCATTCCATGTGGATATGTAATGGAACTTGTCAATATTTTAGAAGGAAAGCAGTGTGTTGAGGTATTTGTGTGCCAACATTGCAGCTCCCTCTGAGTAGGAGATGGTGAGTCAGTATGAATTTTAATATCTGTATTGAGCTGTGGAAGTGTCTCTGGATAATAGCACAGATATTCCTCTTTCTGTGTTCTTTCTGTGAAAGCATGTAACAGTTCCATTAGCAATGATAAGCCTTTAATTAATAATAATGGTGATCTCTGTAGAGAAAAAATATTGAGGAGGGACATTTAAGGAGTTTCAATGATGGTATCTTATTCTTTTTTTTTTTTTTTTAGTTGGAGTCTCACTCTGTCGCCCAGACTGGAGTGCAGTGGCCACTGCCGGCCACTGCAGCCTCCACTTGCTGGGCTCTGGCGATCCTTCCGCCTCAGCCTTCCAAGCAGCTGGAACTACAGGCGCATGCTACCACGCCTGGCTCATTTTTTATTTATTGTAGAGATGAGGTCTCGCCAAGTTGCCCAGGCGGGTCTTGAACCCGCAGGCTCAGGCAATCCACTCGCCTCAGCCTCCCAAAGGTGTGGGATTACAGGCTAAGCCACTGAGCCCGGCTCCTACTGAGGTTTATGTTATTTTTTTTCTACTGAAGGTATTTTATTTATGTATATTATTTTTATTTATTTATTTATTTTTGAGTTGGAATCTTACTCTGTCGCCCAGGCTGAAGCACAGTGGAACACTCACGGCCACTGCAGCCTCGACCTGTTGGGCTCCAGCAATCTTTCTGCCTCAGCCTTCCAAGTAGCCGGAACTACAGGTGCATGCTATCACACCTGGCTAATGTTTTTACTTATTGTAGAGATGAGGTCTCACCAAGTTGCCTGGGCTGGTCTCAAACCTGTGGGCTCAGGCAAATCACTCACCTCGGCCTCCCAAAATGCTGGGATTACAGGTTGAGCCACCGAGCCCAGCCATTACTTAAGGTACTTTAAAAGTGTAATGGTATGCTTAGATCTCTATTTTGGAATGAGATATTTTAGAATTAAGTATGGATTGGAAAAATAAGAGACTAGAGGCAGAGAGACCAATGTGAAGAAGATAGTCAATGCTCCAGGTTAGAAATGATGATGGCCAGAACTAGAGCAGTGGAAAGAGAGAAAGGAATGATTGGGAGAGACATTTCAGGATAGAATCAATAGGCCTTAGTGAATAACTGAATGTAAGAGGTGGAGGAGAAGCATCAATTCACATTTATTGCTCGAAAAGCTGTACTGCCAGTAATGCCATCAACCAGGAAAGCAAATGTAGGAAAAGGAACAGGTCTTGTGCGCATTAGTTTGGATGCTCTGAGTTTGAGCTGCCTATGAAAACTGCAGGTACATGATATGCAATTAACATTATACATATGGAGTTCCAAAATTTGAGAGTCATTAGAGAAACTTGAAGTGTGTTTTTTATAATTAAATATACTGCCACATATTACATTAGCATGTTGTGATTGTGTTTCTGCTGCTTGTATGTGTGCAAGTATGTGAATCACCGATGGGTATATGTATATTTCTGCTGACAACAAAAAATGGGAAACCAGTAAGGATGAAATGCATTTATCCAGTCCTCAGTAAATGGCAGTTGTTTTATTACCACTAAATGGGGTGGTGCGTGATAGCCTGTATACTGCTATTAATAGGCATGAGTATGTAGTGTGTACATAGAATTCATGTGTTTAGTGTGTAGCATGTGTGAGACCCACTTACCTGAGCAGTTTCTCTCCCCACTTACAACGGCATCTGTTGAGGATTCCTGTGAGGGGTAGGGAGTGAACTCGTTACAAGATGGGTAGGGAACAGAATGTATGTGTCTAAGCCGAAGCATCCAGGTCAGAGGTGCTGGTGTTGGGGAGGCTGACCTGGGAGGCCCAGATACAGGACACAAAGGCAGCCAAAGCTGGCGGCTGGCCACAGATCTGAGCTGGGATTACTGTACAGGAGATGGGGGAAGGGATGGACACTCACGGGAACACTCCGCGAGAAAAATACACAAAACAGGCCTAGTCAAGACTCACAGAGCCCAACACACATATGTAAAAACTGGACACAACCTACTGAGATATGCATAGTGAAACCATGTGGATACTTGGGATGATGTCCCTAAGACACTCCAAAACCAGAGGCAACAGATACTCTATGCAAATCAAACACAAAGACTCTGTGCAGTTACATAACTCTCTTCTATACATAGGGCCTCCCAAAGTCCCTAACTGGTTCCCAACTAGTAGAAACATTCATACAAACCCAAAGGAACATAGAATTGGTAAAGTAATGGCTGATATGCAAACAACACTGTACAACCATAAGGTACAGAGACTCTCCAGTTCCACGAGAGTACAATGAGGATAAGAAAGCTGGACTAGAGTGGAAGAGACATCTGGCAATAGAGAAAGAGAGGAATGGAGCACATCTGTGGAGCCAACTGCTTTTCTGGCAGGGTTTTGTAGTCTGGGACAAAGGATGGGCACACCTACCAAAGAGGCTGAGTCCCTCCTTCAATCCACTGGCCACTTTGTAGACCGAGGGGTGAGACTCACTCTTAAAAATCTGTAGAACACTGTCAGGGAGAAATGGAGGTATTTGGGTAACTTGGATTTTTGAAGGGAATGGGAATTGAGGATTGAGGAAATAGAATGGAGTTTATGAATATCCTCCTAATCAAGTCTTTTTTCAATTTATTATAGAGACAAGGTCTGACTATGTAGCCCAGGCTGGTCTCAAACTCCCATCTTGGCCTCCCTAAGTGCTGGGATTCTCCTTAAGTGCTGGGATTACAGGAGTGAGCCACCACGCCTAGCCTGATCAAGTATTGATGTAATGTTTGTCCCTCATTTTTCTGTGCTACGGTTTCTCCCTTTAGAAAAGGAAGGTGATACTTTTGTGTTTTTCTTCCTGTTTTCCCCTCACACCAACCCCCTTCCCTTTCCTTCAGGGAGAGAGATCTTAATAGCCCCAGGATTAGGGAAACTAGAGCCTCATTAGGATTATTAGAGCATTAAACTTAATCCTTCTCCCTCTCCAGAGACAGCAGCCTGTTCCACCTCCTTACCTGTAAGTGTCTTGATCTATGCTCACCAGATGGGTCCTGAGGACAGAAAACAAGCAGGAAGGTGGCTGGAGTATGAGAGGTCTGAGTTCATTCCAAAGCTCCACCTCCTACCCCCCCCAATATTATCCCAGTCTCCCTAGAACTCCGCATCCTCACAGGTTCTCTTGTGTGTCCTAGAGCACTTTACACACTGGGTCACTGCCCACACCCTTATCCCATCTCCACCTTACTTTTCAGTCCTCCCCCTCCCAATCCCACCTTACTTTCATTGAGGTTAGGGCGAAATCACCTACAACACAAATTTCTTAAACCCCAGGATGGGGACACTGACACTGTGGTCTTCCAGTTCAACCCCGATTCTTCTTCGACCCAGGAACTTGAGCAGCCCTCCAAGTGCTCGAACCTGGGAGGGGATCAGCAGTGCAGTTGGGGTCAATCCTAATGTCCTGGGGGCTGCACAACCCCAGGAAACTAATGTTTTCCAAGGCTGAGCAAGTACTTCCCAGAACTCAACCCTAGGACTGGGATTCTTGTGCCTTTCTCCAACCTGCCACCTCCCAGCCCTCATCCTCTAGGACCCATCTCACTGTGAGGAGGCAGTCAAAAGGAATAATGGAGGAGAGGAAGAGAATTTTCTCAGTGGCGGTCATGGACTCTGGGAGGAAGGAGTAGTTTCCAGAAAGGAGGCGCTGTTTGCTTATCTCCAGACCTATTCAGGGGAGGCAAAGGTATTATAGCCCGAGTTTTTCACCCCATTTTAAGAACGAAACAAAGAGTGACTCAGTGATAAGAAATGAAGGAAAATTTTTAAAAAAAGAATGAAACAATATAGGCAGGAGAGATGACATGACTTGCTCAAGCTCATACAGGCAGTTCATGGAAAGCTGAAGCAAGAACCAAATTTTCACTCTTAGTCTAATTCTCTTTTTATTCTACATATATTGTAAGGTTATTTGCCTGAGAGTACAACCTGAGAAAAATCAATGGCTCAGGAGACTAAGATATGTTTGGAATTGGGGATTTGAGTTTTTTAAAAATTATATTAACAGAGGAACTAGGCTGAGCACAATGGCTCACGCCTGTAACCCCAACACTTTGGGAGGTGGAGGTGAAAGGATTGCCTTTTTTTCTTCGAGACCAGCCTGGGCAACTTGACAAGAATTTGTCTCTCCAGTAAATCAGAAAAGTTAGCCAGGTGTGGTGGCACACGCCTATAGTTCCAGCTACTTGGAAGGCTGAGGTGGAAAGATTGCTGGAGCCCAGCAGGTCGAGGCTGTGATGGCCGTGAGCATGCCACTGCACTCCAGCCGTTCTGACAGAGTGAGAATCCAACTGAAAAAAAACAAAAAACAAAAAAAACCAGGAACTAGAAACACAAGTGTCTTAACATTTAATTAGGATGTAACATTCCCTGACCTTATTGTAAATTCGGGAAGGTTATGGAAGTGCCTTATGTATCAACAGGGTCACTGAAGTAGTACCTTTTTTGTGAGTGCATATGATTAATGGCTTTGGCTTAACAGAGAAAATTCCAACAATCAAAGCTGCCCGGAAAGTGTTATCACTCTCTCTCTTTTTTTTTTTTTTTGAGTTGGAGTCTCTCTCTGTAGCCCAGACTGGAGTGCAGTGGCTGCTCCCGGACACTGCAGCCTCTACCTGCTGGGCTCCAGCGATCCTTCCGCCTCAGTCTTCCAAGTAGCCGGAATTACAGGCATGCGCTACCACGCCCAGCTGATTTTTTGATTTATTGTAGAGATGAGGTCTCACTGCCCAGGCGGGTCTCGAACCCACGGGCTCAGGCAATCCACTCACCTCAGCCTCCCAAAGGGGCGGGATTACAGGCTGAGCCACCGAGCCCGGCATCACTCTCTCTTGTCAGGAGGCCCTCATCCCTAAGCATGGCTAAGCAGAGGCTTCACAACATGCTACAAATTATTAAGGGGTAGGGAGCAGCAGAGATCTTGAGGAGACTTAGGATAAGGCTGAGGGAGATTTCTGATAATGTGAGTGGCGTTAGAAGAAAAGGTTGGAACACTGGAATGGGGGATTGAGCAAAAAGAAAGGAAGGAGATACCAAAATCCACACTTGGCAAAAATATGATTTCAGGTCTCTTAGGCTCCCTGGGCTCCTGGGAGGCTGTGGGAGAGGCAAAGAAAGGGCCATCATTCTGTACATCTCAGTCCTCTGCCTGTGTGTGACCCTCCCTCTTACCCAATTCTAGCCCCCTGAAACATTCCATTCCTTAGTCCTTCCCTATTTTTCCTCTCTCCCTTACTGGGTCCTTACCAAGCTTCCCCAGAAATAGAGTCATATTCTCATCCTGTTTGGCACTTGTAACAATGGACTGGGGATTGATTTCATCCAGAACTTAGAAGAGAACAGAGATCATATGAGTTAAAGGATCTTTATCTTTGACTAAGAGAGAACCCACACCCTCCTCTTGCTACCTCCTCCCCCTCAAAAACTTATTTCCCCTCTCTAAGGGTAGGGGGTGTTCTGCATATTAGAAACACTGGTAGGAGTTAGAAACGAGATTTAGAAAAGTAGTGAGACTAGTGCTACGGTGGGAGGGAAGAGGGGTGCCCTGGAAATTGTCACTAGACAGTAAAGTCCTGGAGAACAGACATGACTAATTTGCCCAGGGCTCTGTCAGCAGCATCTGATACATTGTAAATACCTCACAAATATTAGTTGAATAATGAAATGAATTCCTAAAAACAGAGGGAGCCTCTGGGGGGCAACTACAAAACAGATCAAGTCAAAGCTATGGTTTGGATAGGGTTTGTCCCCACCAAATTCCATGATGAAATTTAATCCCCAGTGTGACAGTGTTAGGAGGTGTGGCCTAGTGGGAGGCATTTGAGGGTGGATCTCTCCTGAATAGATTAATGCCCTCCCTGGGGGTGGGGGGGTGCATGTGTGAGTGAGTTTTCCCTCTACTCCCAAGAGCTGACTGTCAAACAGAGCCGGGCACCTCCCCCACCTCTTGCTACATCTCTTGCCTGAGATCCTGGCACATGATCCTCCCTTCCCCCTATAGAGGAAGCAGCCTGAGACCCTCACCAGATGCAGATGCCCAAACTCGACCTCTCCAGCCATCCAGAATCATAAACCAAATAAACCTTCCTTCTTTACAAATTACTCAGCCTCAGATATTCATTTGGAGCAACACAAAACAGACTAACGCAGTCAGATGAGGACATATGAGTGAAACACAACTTCCAATCCCAGAGAATAGAGAAATGCATATTTCTGACCCCACCTCTCTGGAGAAGCTTGAGGCTCTCATGGTCTGGGGCATCTGGCATGAAGTGGACAGTGGAGTCACTAGTGTCATAGTAGGCAATGCCCAAGTATCCTGAATTCCACAGCACACACAGATGGATCTGTCCAGCAAGGGAGAAAGGAACCCAATATTTGAGTCACTCGTAAGTGTAGGGTTTGCCGTGCCTTTTTTATTTTTATTTTTTTGAGTTGGAGTCTCACTGTCACCCAGACTGGAGTGCAGCGGCACGATCCCGGCCACCGCAGCCTCGACCTGCTGGGCTCCAGCGATCCTTCCGCCTCAGCCTTCCAAGTAGCTGGAACTACAAGCGCGCGCTACCACGCCCGGCTAATTTTTTTTTAAATTTACTGTAGAGATGAGGTCTTGCCAAGTTGCCCAGACGGGTCTCGAACCCACGAGCTCAGGCAATCCACTCACCTCAGTCTCCCAAAGCACGGGATTACAGGCTGAGCCACTGAGCCCAGCTATGCTGTGCCTTCTTTAATGTTAATCACTCAGCCAAGTCTCTGAGGTAGGCACTATCACTTCCATTCAGTGAATGAGAAATAGACACTTAGGAGGTAAGGGACTGGTTCCCTTTCTAACATTCCCATCATCTCCCTCTCCTGATTCAAGTTTCTGCTCCCTGCAGAGACCTGGGCCAGCTCCTCCTCCTCTTCATCTTCCTCCTCCTCAGCCTCCCCGGGGTCTGGCCCTGGGGCTGGGCTGGGGAAGCTGGCCGTGAATGCTCCAGGCCCCTGTCGCTGCGGCGTCCTGCCGGAGGTCGCTCCTAAGGAGGCCATGAACTTGGAGGATCTGCGGATACAAAAAGGCGGTTCAGAAGCCACATTTCTCCAAGGAAGCTGTGGCAGAGTGGCACGCACGCAGAAAAGTCAATCCACTGAGGGCTGAGAAGGGCATGGAGAGCAGTGGTGGTGCGTTTCGAGGGGATGACCTCTCAGGCATTCCGCTAAAGTACAGGTTATGGGAAACTCCGCGCACCCCGCCCTCGTTTCTGTCACGCGGAGGTTGTACTTTGGAAGGAGGTGGTCTGAGGGCTCTGTGGGGCGAGTGGTGCTCGTCTATCTCTCTGTCTCTGCCAACTACACCCATGACTACAGCCTCAACCTCTTGACTCTCTCCTCCTCCACCAGCGGCTGCCAGCTCTAAAGGTTTTCCCGCCTTTTCCATCACCCGGGTCGCGACGTGCCCGAGACCGCCCCACTGACCAGCCGCCGCGAGCCTGCCTAAGGGGCGCGCCAGCGCGAGGGCGGGGTGCGCGCGCACACGCCCCGCCCGCCTCGTCGCTATTGGTCAGAAAGACCCAATCCTTCATAGAGACCCGATAGGGCGAGAGGGAGAAGCGGACTGCAGTCACGGAGGAATCTGGGCACTGATTGGTCCATTCACATTCGGGGCGGGTCTAGAACGTTTAAACTTCCCGCCCTCTGCCGTTGCGTAGCAGCCAGGCCTCGGCGCTCTCAACGCTCCTGGACTTTGATTGGCGCGGGGTGGAGCCCGCGAGAAAGTCGGAAGCGGAGCTGGAGTCTCGGCCCCAGGAAGGGGTCTGGGGGCTTTGGGGGAAGTTTGTGGAGGAGGCCGACCTTAAAGGGCCAGAGGCACTTATTTTTCCTTGAGAGTGGAGTTAAGCAACAGTAATTCAACTAGTGGTGTCCTCTGAGCTCATATTTATAAAGAGCTTTTAACAGTACCTGACAAAGTAAGAGTTATGTGAGTGTTTAAAGAAAAATAAGCAGAAATTTCGTGACCCGCCTGGGCAACTTGGCGAGACCTCATCTATAATAAATTAAAAAATCAGCTGGGCGTGGTAGCGCGCACCTGTAGTTCCAGCTACTTCGAAAACTGAGGCGGAAGGATCGCCGGAGCCCAGCAGGTCGAGGCTGCGGTGGCCGGGAGCGGCCACTGCACTCCAGTTTGGGCGACAGAGTGAGACTCCAACTCAAAAAAAAAAAAAAAAAAAGCAGAAATAAACAGAACTCCTGTCTCAGCTCCACTTTGCCTGTTTCCCAGGTGCAGAGTGTGACCCCCATTTTTTATTTTCGGTCCCCCAAGTGGAGGTGGAAACATTCAGATTACACCAAATTCTGGCAGAGAGAAGTATATCTAATCAGTACACCCACACCCCTCTTGGGACAGGCCCATACTTCTGAAGGGCACATACCTCTAAGGACAGAGAGGTATCATTCATACATTCAGCAACTATTTTTTTAGCGCCTACTCTAGGCCAGAGGTTGGACTCAAAGCAGTGAACATAGTGAAGTTCTGGCTCCTTAAAGCTTATTTGTGTGTAGGACAGGAGGGGAGGAGGTTGTGAGGGAGAATCAAATATATACTTTTTTGGGGGGATGGCGTCTTGCTGGGTTGCCCAGGCTGGAGTGCAGTAGCACGATCACAGCTTACTGTAATCTCAAATTCTTGGGCTCAAGGGATCCTCCTGCCTCAACCTCCTGAGTAGCTGGGACTATAGATGTCCACCACTGCGGCTATTTTTATTTTTTATTTTGTAGATAGAGACGGCGTCTTCCTATGTTGTCCAGGCTGATCTCAAACTTCTGCCTCAAGTAAATCCTCCCACCTCGGCCTCCCAAAGTGCTAGGATTATAGGCATAAGCCACCACATCTGGTTCAAATATACACTTAAAAAAAAAATCTGCTGAGTGGTGGCTCACACCTGTAATCCCAGCACATTCGGAGGTGGAGGTGAGAGGACTGCCTGAGCCCAGGGGTTCGAGACCAGTCTGGGCAATTAGGCAAGACCTCTTCTCTATAATAAATCAAAAAATTAGCTGGGCATGGTGACACATGCTGTAGTTCCAGCTACTTGAAGGCTGAGGCAGAGGGATTGCCTGAGCCCAGCAGATAAAGGTTGCAGTGACCCTGACAACAGTTTGAGACTTCGACTCAAAAAAAAAAAAAACAAAACATCTTTCTCCCAACTTTGTTCTTGGTACCCTGAGATGAGGAGATCTTCCCCTCCACCCACCCAAGAGGTGAGGAAAGATGGCCAGGGTGAGATTACCTGGCTGTGATAACTGATTGGAAAATCCCCTCCAGAGAGAGAGGGGGGGGAGCAGAGTTAAGGGCTGGGTTAATGGTTACTCCTGGCAAATTGTTGAGCAATAGAACTATGGAAACCTGGAGGAGGTTGGTGACAGCTCTGGGGAGTGTCAGGGAGGGACACACCTTCCAATCTGGGTGTAAAGAGATTAGGGACTGGTTTACCAAGCCCAGGAAGGTGGGGGGGGGAGTGAAAACAGAAGCCCAGGGAAGTAAAGGGAAGATACTGAGATAAGAGAAAAGCAGGGGAAAGGAGATGAGGAAGAGGGAGACTTTTCTGATGCAGGATTTGTGGGTGCAGCCTTGACTTCAAATCCATGCGGCATTGCTAGATAGTTCCAGGAGAGGGCAGCGTTGCCTGTTACCTGGGAAGGTAAGGCAAGATACCCTGTGGGCAGCCATGCCAGCCAGCCAAAGTCAATATTGATGAACAAGGCAGCTATAAAGCTGTAGGAGAGAAAAGAGGCTGCCAAACCTGTTTGAGCTTCAAGCTGTCCTCTTTTACTTGAGGCTTCTCTCAGAGGGGAGATATTTGTGGGACAAAATCTCTGGTGGACACTGACCAGTTGAAACAGGAGGGGACCCTGGGAAGTAGAGTTACTTTGATTCTCTCCCTTCAGTAGGAAAGGGTCCTGTGTGCAGAGTTTAAAGGTTGTCATGGAGGGAATTCTCACCCATACACACACACACACACACACACACACACACACACACACACACACAGGGACTCATTCTGCATCCTTATAGGATGTTACAGTTAAGGGAGCAAAAACTAAATATAGCTCTTCTGTCTGTGGAGGAGTGTCTGCGGAGGAGAGAAACAGGCCTTCCCCCAAGCAGGAGAAAACCCACAGAAGAGGAAGCAGAACAGGAAACCACCAACTGCTGGTTTCTAGCAGCACATCACGTCATGCCACCCTACTCCTTCCCTTATTTAAGTTCCAAGCCCTGAGTTGCTTCTGCATCCTTGTACTACACCATGGTTTTCTAGAACTGTCACTCTTTTGTTGGACATAGGGTGATGAGGAAGAAAGAGAAAGGATGGTTGGACAGGAGAGAAATTCAGGATGAGAGGCTGGAATACATCTCATTTGGGGGACATTCTGGGGCTATTTTTTAGCAGGTCATAAAATATTTGATAGAACCTTGAAAATCAAGGTTAATGGGAAGTGAGAGAGCTATTCCTCCTCTGTCCTCCCAACTTATTTGTGTGTCCCCAAGAACTCCACTCACACTAGTCTATCTGTTCTATGGTAGGGCCAGCTACCACCCTCCCCACCACCCTCCTCCAACACACACATGCCCCAGAATCAGCGCAGCTCTCTCCTAAGGTCATGATAACCCCACCCCGCTGCTCCATCTCCAAGGCATCCTATCAATAAGAAAAGGGCAAGGGGCACAGGAAGGGGCCCATGGGAAGCAGAATTAGAAGCATAAAGCCGATAAGGCTATAGGCAGCAGACCTCCCCTTGTGACAAAGCCCCTTGCCTCAGTTTCACTAGCATTGTGGTCTCCCATTCCATCCCGACTCTACTTTTGCCACTTTCTATCCCAAATCTCAGACTTCCACTTCCACATTCTCCCAGACCACAGTTCTGGCACCCAGAATTTGGACCGGAGTCAGGAAGAAAAGCACCTTTCCATTCTAAGATCCCATCTCTTGATCTTCACGGGCATACCCAAGCTGTTAGTGTTAAGTTTCTTATATGAAGGTGCAGTGGGTTGTCCTCTGATTTTTTTTTCTTCGTTTTTTTCTCCCTCTGATTAATGAAGCAGGGAAACTGAGGCGGAAAAGAGTTCTGTGTTCAGGAGAGATCGGAGAAACAAGGAGATTTCCAGGATTCCCTTTCTTTAACAACCTTATCCCTGATCTCTGGGAAACATGAGGACTTCTCCCGGAACCCACTCCCTACATCGCTGAGTCCCGCCCCCTCCAATCCCCTCCCCAGGTTCAGGGCGGGGCCGGTGGGTGAGTCAGCCAGCGGCTCCCTGATCCAGCCTGGGAGGGGACCGAATTGGAGGAGCTGGGTGTTGGGTGCACTGGGCTGGTGGGGAAGCCGAATCTGGGGCAAGTGGTCTGATCAGGATTGTGTTGCACTGAAGGGACAGCCCTAGGTCTGGGGGAGAGGATCCCTGACTGTGAGACCCGCCTTCCCTGGCCCCGAAAGCCCCTCCCAGTTCCCCAAGCGACGGCCACTTCCTGGTCCCCGACGCAACCATGGCTGAAGAACAACCACAGGTCGAATTGTTCGTGAAGGTAAGAACACCTTCTCTCTCCTTGACCTCTCTAATTCTTGGAAGCCACCTCTCACCTTTCCTCCCTCCCCCGCTTGTCTTAACTCCCTAATCCCTTCCCTCCTTGGTCCCCACCCCTAATCCCAGCTACAATCTTTGTTGTTTTGTGTGTGTGTGTGTGTGTGTGTGTGTGTGTGTGTGTGGTGGGGCGGGTTAACTTGTAAGCAGGTACTGAGGGTTCCAGGATCAACCTTGAAAAGTTGGTAAAAGTGCAAGTTTCCAACAGCCTAAAGAAAGAGAAAAAGGAGAGTTCTCAGGAGTGAGACTAGGGTGGGGAGTCGGGGTGTAAGCTGATGGAAGGGCAGGGGGCGAAAGGGACAGCGGCAGCCCAGCAGAGTTTGGGAGGGACAGAAGGAAACCTTACTTAGGACATGTGACCCTACAAGAATATCAGAGGGTGAGAGGCTTAGTGGGGGAGAGAATGGAGGGGGCAGAGGAGGTCCCAAAGAAAAGAGTATGTTGAGGGAGGCCTAAGAGTAGGAAGAACTCAATTGGGAAGAACTGGTGGGATGGAAGGTAAGAGAGGGGAGAGTGAGATCAGAGTTCAAGAAGCGGGGCTGGAGAGATGATGGGGTGGTAACGAATATCCCCTGGGACTGGAGGAAGGGAGAGAAAGGGAGATGGCAGAAACCAGAGTTTAGCTGTAGCTGCCACGAGGATAGATGAGAGATCAGATGGAGGAGGAGAGCTGGGTTAAGACACTTAGGATTTGGGGGGGTGCAGAAGCAGGGGAAACAAACTTGCCCCAACTCTCTCCTCCCTCTGGTGGGTGTGGATGAGGAGAGGCTTGGTATCAGCAGGCTTCTCTCTCTGTGTCAGCCGGCTCCCCTCCGATTCCGGCAGCCACTCTCCTCCCCAGCAGCTCTGCATTCTTTCCCTGGTCTTGGGACCCCATCTCTGTGCCCCTCCCTCTCTCGTCACTGCTCCCTTCCCTCTCTCTGCTCCATCTGTGTCTCCGTTTACACATTCTCCCTATCCTCCACTTTCCTGCCTTCTTTCTCTCCACTTTTGCTCATCTCATCTTTGTGTGTTCCTGCCTGTTTCTCCTTCTCTTTCGGCTCGGGTTTCTCAGGCAGCCATTCCCTCTCTCCGGGCCGGGGAAGTTGGCTGTGCTTGGTTGAGTCCACCCCCTTAGGTGTGGTCCCCACCTCACTCTCACACTCGCCTCCGGGACTATTTTTACTCATGGGTGAGGCTGGGCTGCAGAGTTTCCGGCCTGGTGTCCTGTATGAGGAGGATTATTTGGTGTCAGAAGACTTGTGCTGGAAGACCCTGGCTGTGAGAGGGATGGATAGGTGGTGGCCTTAAATGCCCAGGCCTCACAGGTCCCTGCCCCCACTTCCTTACCAGGAAGGAAGCTGCTGGGGCCGGAGACACAGAGAGATGAATCACCCTCAGCTTAGGGGGAGGCGTCCTTTGGGGCAATGAGGTCACAACTTGCTCATAAGAGGGCAGCCCCCCTCTGCAAGGCCCTTCACATCTCTGGGGCGAGGCTCAGAACCCCTTGACTCAACTCCCCACCCAACTGCCAGAAGCAGCTTAGATGGAAGTGTACAGAACCAGAACTCTGGCTCCCAAACCCCATCCCATGTCTCGTTTTCTCAGATTCTACTCCATTCAGGAACCCAGGAATCCAGACCCCTAGCCTACAACTCTGGCCTCACCAAAGCCCCACACCCGTCCCTCTGTAGGGTTCACATCCTCCAAGTTCTTCAAGACCCATTCCCTCTGCCTACTTCCCACCTGTCCTCAGTCTCTGGGGAAGCAGAAACCTGCCTTTGTAGAAAAAATTTCCATTGATCTGCCTAGGTTTGACCCAGGCCCAAGTTGTGGAGAATCCAGTTCTAGGGAGAGCTCTTAATGGTGGGGAGTGTTTTTGTCATGACTAGGCAGAAAACAGCTGGTCTGGGAGTAGGAATGCAAGGAATGGCATGGGGCGTTGGGGGAGGGCACCAAGCCTAACCTTGGGTTGTGGGTTGCTTTTCAGGCTGGCAGTGATGGGGCCAAGATTGGGAACTGCCCCTTCTCCCAGAGACTGTTCATGGTGCTCTGGCTCAAGGGAGTCACCTTCAACGTCACCACTGTTGACACCAAGAGGTGAGCCCAGTTCTGTTATTCTAAACACCACTTGTGTACACACATGTACACACACACACATACACCTGAGTCCTTTCATCTTGAACCCTCTTGGTTTCCACTTGGAACCCCTTTCTCTTCTTATATTCCCCCACTCCCCTTTCTGGTCTTCCCTGACCCCTTTTTCCTGTCTTAATGCCTGGTCCCTTCTCCAGGCGGACCGAGACAGTACAGAAACTGTGCCCAGGAGGGCAGCTCCCATTCCTGCTGTATGGCACTGAAGTGCATACAGACACCAACAAGATTGAGGAATTTCTGGAGGCAGTGCTGTGCCCTCCCAGGTATAAGGGTACTTGGAAAGGGGGGAGGGAGAGCTAGGAGATTTGGGGTAACAGAGTTTAAAGAAATGGAAAACAGAGATGATGACTGAAGTGGGGCAGGGGAGCTAACTGAAACTCCTCCCAGGAAGATATCTTACCTTGTTTTTTCCCACTGGCTTTCAGGTACCCCAAGCTGGCAGCTCTGAATCCTGAGTCCAACACAGCTGGACTAGACATATTTGCTAAATTTTCTGCCTATATCAAGAATTCAAACCCAGCACTTAATGATAGTGAGTCTTATGGGTTAGAGGTCTGGGTTCTGGGAGGAATGGAGAAGAACTAGGGTTGGGAGGCATTAGGGGCACCCGGAAGTTCAGCTGTCAAGAAGATGGAGCAGATGTTGGTAAGCCTCCCCACCCCTCCTTTTTGCTTTACCTCTATATTTCCCTGCACTCTCATTGGCTAAGACTTTTGAGCCTCTCTCATTTGTTCCCTAGCCTCTTCTGATGCACTGGGGACATTATTGACTGCTAGCCTGTTTTCTGGCAGAATAGGGTTGTGTTTAAGAACAATGACTCTAGACTCAAACTATCTGAATACAAATCCAACTAGCTGTGTAACTTTGAGCAATCATTTAACCTCTCTGTAAATCTACTTCCAGATCTATAAAATGAGGATAACAATACCTACTTCATGGATTGCTATAAGAATTAAATGTTAGCTATTATTATTTTGGACTGGCCATTTGTATCCACCCCATGCCTTCCTGGACTGAATTTAACAATCTTCTCCTGACGTTCTAATCAATTCCTTCACATGCACAGATCTGGAGAAGGGGCTCCTGAAAGCCCTGAAGGTTTTAGACAATTACTTGACATCCCCCCTCCCAGAAGAAGTAGATGAAACCAGTGCTGAAGATGAGGGCATCTCTCAGAGGAAATTTCTGGATGGCAATGAGCTCACCCTGGCTGACTGCAACCTTTTGCCAAAGCTGCACATAGTACAGGTGTGTGGTCATTGTGGGAGGAAAGGATGACCACTGGGATGGCTCTTTAGGGAGCTCTCCTATGGGCTTCCCATGATAACCACTCCAAAGGTACCTTCTTTCTTAGGGTAGTTTCGATAGATTGCTACCAATGACCCATCCCACATCAGTCCCTCTTGGCAGTCATTGTTGGTAAGACTAACTGCTTGAAGCCGGGCTCGGTGGTTCAGCCTGTAATCCTGTGCTTTGGGATGCTGAGGTGAGTGGATTGCCTGAGCCCACAGGTTCGAGACCCGCCTGGGCAACTTGGTGAGACCTCATCTCTACAATAAATCTAAAAATTAGCCGGGCGTAGTAGCACGTGCCTGTAGTTACAGCTACTTGGAAGGCTGAGGCGGAAGGATCACTGGAGCCCAGCAGGTTGAGGCTGCGGTGGCTGGGGGCGGCTACTGCACTCCAGTTTGGGAGACAGAGTGAGACTCCAACTCAAAAAAAAAAACAAGACTACTGCTTGAGAGAATTATAGTCTATGATACAAGCCATGGGTGCAAACAGACTGGCCAAGAGGAATACATCCTAGTATTACTTTGTTTTCTTGTTTTTTTTTTTAAGTCAGAGTCTCACTCTGTCACCCAGGCTGGAGTACAGTGGCACATTCACAGCCACCTTAGCCTTGAACTGCTGGTCTCAGGCAATCTTTCCACCTTAGTCTTCCAAGTAACTGGAACTATAGACGCATGCCACCACACCCAGCTAATTTTTTGATTTATTGTAGAGATGAGGTCTTATCATGTTGCCCTGGCTGGTCTCAAACCCGTGGGCTCAGGCAATCCTCTCACCTCCACCTCCCCAAGTGCTGGGATTACAGGCGTGAGGCACCATGCCCGGCATCCTAGTATTACTCTGAAGAATGCTCTTCCTGTCTCTGTATCACTGGCAAATCACTAGACTAGACAAAGCAGGCTTTCCCTAAAGTCAAAGCTTTAACTCTATCTATAGCTTCAGTCTTTACTTCCTCTTGTGGAAGATGAAAACTGCTGGTTCCCATATTTTTGTCATAGCCTCAAATCTATGGTTTAGTTTGTGCTACACAGGCCCAATGTCAGTCGGCCACACAACTGTATCATGAACATCTGTGTACTAAGCAATGAAAGACACTTAGATGTCCAGTGATTGGTCCTTGCCCTTGAAGGATTGAAATCTGAGAAGATAAACTATCATGTGAAAGTTAAGGATATATGACAGGACTGGGTGTGGCGGCTCAAACCTGTAATCCCAGCACTTTAGGAGGCCAAGGCAAGAGAATTGCCTGCGCTCAGGGGTTCGAGACACCCTTGGCACCCTTGGTGAGACCTCTTTGCTACAATAAATTAAAAAATTAGCCAGGCATGGTAGCACATGCCTGTTGTTACAGCTACTTGGAAAGCTGAGGCGGAAGGATCATGTACGCCCCAGTTCGAGGCTGCGGTGGTCACGAGTGTGTGCCTCTGCACTCCAGTCTCAGTGACAGAGTGAGACTCCTACTCAAAAAAAAAATAATAATATAGGACAGGCTGGGCACGGTGGCTCACGCCTGTAATCCCAGCACAATGGGAGGCCAAGGTGAGAGGATTGACTGAGCCCATGTGTTTGAGACCAGTCTGGGCAACTTGATGAGATCTCATCTCTACAGTAAATAAAAAAATTAGCCAGGTGTGGTGGCGCATGCCTGTAGTTCCAGTTACTTTGAAGGCTGAGGCAGAAGGATGACCTGAGTGTGCCACTACACTCCAGTCTGGGCAACAGAGTGACTCCAACTCAAAAAAAAGAATATATGACAAAAAGATGAAAAATAGAGACAAAAGTCATTGTGAAAATTCAAGAGGAGAATTTTATGATGAGTTATATCTCAAGTTTTAAAAAAATCAAGAGGAGAAAAGTGTCACCATGAATGAGGTGACTGATTATTATTATTATTATTATTTTGTTTTTTGAGTTGGAGTCTCACTCTGTCACCCAGACTGGAGTGCAGTGGCCGCTCCTGGCCATTGCAGCCTCAACCTGCTGGGCTCCTGGCCATTGCAGCCTCGACCTGCTGGGCTCCGGCGATCCTTCTGCCTCAGCCTTCCAAGTAGCCGGAATTACAGGCATACGTTACCACGCCCAGCTGATTTTTTTGATTTATTGTAGAGATGAGGTCTCGCTGCTCAGGAGGTCTCGAACCCACGGGTTCAGGCAGTCCACTCACCTCAGCCTCCCAAAGGCGCAGGATTACAGGCTGAGCCACCGAGCCTGGCTTTTTTTTTTTTTTTTGAGTTGGAGTCTCACTCTGTCACCCAGACTGGAGTGCAGTGGCACACTCCCGGTCACTGCAGCCTCGACCCACTGAGTTCCGGCGTTCCTTCCGCCTCAGCCTTCCAAGTAGCTGGAACTACAGGCGTGCGCTACCACACCCGGCTAATTTTTGATATATTGTAGAGATGAGGTCTTGAACCCGCGGGCTCAGGCAATCCACTCACCTCAGTCTTCCAAAGCACTGGGATTATAGGCTGAGCCACTGAGCCTGGCGTGACTGGTTATTAATGGCCAGGATTTCAGTAAGTGAAGATGGGGGCTGAGGACAGTACAAGACAGTGAGGAGTTGAGAAAGCTAGTTGGAGAAGATGATTCATATGTGATATAAGAATCAGTATGAGCCGGGCTCGGTGCCCAGGCAGGTCTCAAACCCGTGGGCTCAGGCAATCCTCTCACCTCAGCCTCCCAAAG